TAAAGACCTGAAATATTTCAGTTGGTGTGCAATGAATCTGAAATATATGAAAGTTTCATTTTTATCATTACATTATGGAAAATAATGACCTTTATCACAATATGCTAATTTTTTTAGAAGGACCTGTATATAAACCCAAAATAGCTTATATTTCAATTTAGCCTCTTTTTTCTTTCCACTCTTTAATATCTTATCTTTCGACTGAAAATCTAGTTTAGAAAAATCCTTGTTTTGAGAATTTTGTTCAAACAAATTTAAATGTGTGTACCATTTGCTTCACCCCTGCCCCTCTGCTTAACAGAAGAATGCACAGCGGCTAATGCACCTGCTTCATTGGCCCTATGGGGCAGCAGTCCCCCCTATCGGTGAGGTAAGGTACTTTCTGCCTCACCCTTGTGTATTTTCAGTGTGCATTTATGACCGATTAGAAAGAAGAAATATGTCACATTCATTCAATATATTAGACAGACTGTAGAACATCAACATGTGTAGCACGTGTAATCAAATGTGTATTGGCGATATAAAGAGAAACATCAATGGGCATGCGCAAACCGCTAACTTCATTTAATGTATATGACACAGCGCCACAAGAGGTGAGCCAGAGCACTACACTGCCTCACCCTAGTCACCTCTCATTTATTCCATGTTTGAACAGGCAATGCCTAAATTCTGCTATTTTGACCATTGAAGTATTGAAATAAAAAGTTTTATCAAACAGTTTTATAGAACAGTCAAGTGGTCAAATGTATCTTCTCTTATCATTGCTAGTATTTTACTTGTCATGATGAGAGGTGTGGCACTGCCCCATCTGCCTCTCCTGGTTGCATGTTACTGTTTTAGATATTTATGAGGCTGTTCCTGGAATTTGTTGAAGCCACTCTTCTATTTGGGGGTCACAGCACCAAGTGCTCCAATGACCACTGGGACCACTGATGTTTTGACTCTCCACAACTTCTCTATTTCCTCTTTCAGTCCTTGGCATTTCTCCAGCTTCTTGTACACCTTCTTCCTGATGTTACAGTCACTTGGGATTGCTACATCTATCACCACTGCCTTTTTTTCATGCTTGTCGACCACTACAATGTTCAATTGGTTAGCCAGCACCTGTTTGTCAATCTGGATCTGGAAGTCCCACAGTATCTTAGCCCTACCATTCCCCACCATCACTGGTGGCATCTCCTACTTTGACTGTGGTACCTCCTGTTCATACTCAGCACAGATGTTCCTGTATATTATTCCAGCCACTTGGTTATGGGTATTCCATGTTCTGTATCTGATGACTGGTACTGCATATGTGTTAGTGGCTCAGACTTTGGACTTGCTGTTCAGCTGGCTCTTGAGGACCTGCCTCACTCTCTGTAGGTACTTGGTTGTGGCTGACTTTCTTGCAGCCTCGTCATGATTTCCATTTGCCTATGGGATTCCAAGGTATTTGGAGCTGTCCTGTACAGCAATGTTGCCTTCAGGTAGTTGAATGTCAGTCAAATGTTGTTGCTGTATATCCTGGTGAAGTGGATCAATGAGTTGATGTCTCATTTTTGGCATGCAACTTGATGTTGCATGCCAAAAATGAGACATCAATGTTGTTGATGTTGTTTTTTTAAATGAATAAACTATATACCATACCATGTCATCCATGTAAAGGAGGTGACTGATGATTGTTTCACTTTGGAACCAATATCCATAGACACTCTTTGCAATAATCTGGCTGAAGGGGTTCTGGCCTATACAGAACAGGAGTGGGGACTGTGTATCACCTTGGTATATGCCACATTTAATGCTGACTTGTGCAGATGGCTTTGAATTAGCCTCTTGACTTGTCTTCCACTTTTCCACTGAGTTCTTGTTGACTGCTCTTCATGTCCTGTTGATGTAGTATAGCGTCAAGGCTTCAAGCACTCCAGTATCCGTGTGTATGGCATTGAGCCATAGGCTTTCCTGTAGTCAATCCAGGCAGTCCACAGGTTTGCACGTCTGGTCTTACAGTCTTGAGCTACAGTTTTGTTGAACAGTATGTGATGATTGGCTCCCCTGGTGTTGTTGCCAATTCCCTTCTGTGCCTCGCTCAAGTATTAACCCATCCATCCATCCATCCATCCATTATCTTTACCTGTTTATTCCATTTTTGGGTCACGGGGGTCGCTGGTGCCCATGTCCAGCAATCACTGTGCGAGGGGTGGGGTACACCCTGGACAGGTCGCAAGTCCATCACAGGGCCACATAGAGACAAACGAGACAAACAATCATTCACTCTCTCACTCACACCTAGGGACAATTTAGAGTTACCAATCAGCCTAACATGCATGTTTTTGGTCTGTGGGAGGAAACCGGAGTACCCGGAGAAAACCCACGCATGCACGGAGAGAACATGCAAACTCCACCCAGAAGGCACCTGGACCGGGGTTTGAACCAGGGACCTGTTCGCTGAGAGGCAGCAGCTCTACCAGTTGCGCCACCGTGCTGCCAAGTATTAACCCATGTGCCTATTTATTTTAGCTGCTATGATGTTTGATAGGAGCTTTCATGTTGTACAGAGGAAGGTGACTGAACAGTAGTTGGAAATAATTTCCCCTTCGGGTTAGGATCCTTCCTTTAGCAGCTGGTTCATCTGTGTTGCTAGGTATTCATGGAGAGCTGTCAGTTTCTTTAGCCAGTAGGTGTGGATCATGTCAGGCCTAGGTGCAGTCCAGTTATTCAGTCTGGAAACTCTGTCTTAGATGTCTGCCACTGTAATGAGCACTGGCTCTTGTTCTGGGAGACTCTTGTGTTGAGATCTTAGATCTTGTAGTCATGGGGCATCATTATTGTGTGCTACCTCCTTCTCTCATATGCTTCTCTAGTACTGCTCAGTCTCAGTTCTTTGTGGATTTACCCTTACATGGTTCCCCTTCCATTTAGAGTACAGTCTAGATGGTATGGTGGAAATTACCCTGTTTATATTCCTGGTTTCTGCTTCTTGAGTGTACCTCTTTAGGTGAGTAGCCAGAGCTTTGAAGCATTGTTTGGCAGTCTCTAGAGCCTCAGGTATGGACATGTTGTGGTATTTTCGTAGTGGCTTTTTATTCATTGCACCTTTCTGTCATTCTGACAGCTGATTTCTCTCATGTTGCCTTGAGCTTAGCTTCCAGCCTCCTTCTCCATAGTGGGCAATGCTCCTTATGGATTGACTTAATCTTATAGCCAAGCAAATCAAGCATAACTGTGGCTATTGTGTATACCAGCTTATTGGTCTCTGTAATGGTGTTAGTAGGGATACTTAGCAATGTTGCATTCACAGCAGAA